CATACCCCACAAACGGCAGGTTGAACCGCATGTGGATGGTTTGTACTCTACTTTAAAGCAATTCACTGCATCTGTTATATATCCTTACTTCTTCTTACTGTTTTGCCCTTTTCATTCCTGCTTAACAATACCACCTACATGGTTGGTTTAGTAATATTACTTCTTGTTTTATATATTTCTTTTGGGCTTCACATAATTTATAATGTTCGCCATTTTATTTAATTTCATTTATTTAATAGTATTCTGCGTAGAAATCTGCACTTTCATATTAGAATATATCTTTTCTATAGCCAGATCTAGAAATATACCCGAAGTCCTTTAAAATTTTCTCAATATATTAAATATTTTGAATACTTAGAACGACGATTAAAAATTACATACGTCTTTGTTATTCTTTTCTTCTTATTACAAATTCCTAGATCCAGTACTTAGGATTCATCTTCTATATAATATTTTCTCCATTTATAATCCCCAGATCCTAGGCCATTGATGGTATCAGAGCCAAGGGGTAGATAAAGATATTCTTTATAATTTCATTCGCAGTAAAGATAATTTCTTTCATGGAGATCTTTTCTTGTGATTTCTGGATGTGTTCCAGGCAGTAAAGCCCAGTGGGATAGTAAGTCCGTTGGTAAACATCGTCGAAATCTATTGAAAAGAAGAAAGTAGTCTTTTGCAATGAACTTATTAATAAGATCTGAGTCTTCTTCTAGTTCTTTATCACAAATGTCCTCTGATCTAGGACCAGTAAATAGAGAAGAAATTAACATAGAAGATTTTAATAAATCAATTGAAAACTGGTTTATTCCAAAAGTCAAACTTGACAAAATTTATGAGCATTCAAAGTTTAAACTCTTCGGACACAATGACTATGTTATTATTACCGAAGAAAGAGATGTACCACTTTTGAATTCTTTTGCTTCAATACAACTATTGAATAAGGATTATGTAAAGAAACATTCCCAGAAATGGAATTATATGCATATAGGATTAGTACAAGTCGGTGCTAAACCCCTCACTAAAGAAGGTTTAGATACTTCCTTGCTTCTTGTTTTAAGATACGCCAAACTTTTAAAATATGAAGAATATATATATTCGTGCTAACTTTGAGTGAAAGTAAGTCTTTCTCACTTGCCCTTTGTCATGTACCCTATAGTTGTACTCGGATCTTGCGGTCCTCAAAATAAAAACAAAAGGAAGAAACCCTAGCCTCATCTCACTCTCACCGTGAGAGTCTCATGTGGCCATGCCTTCAACTCTGTCACTGCGTCGTGTACTTGCAATTGCCTCACGCCTCGCCTCTGGCCCTCCTTCACATCTTGCATCTCCCTCACATCTCACATCAAGCTCTCATTTCGCCTTCAACTATGTCACTGAGTTGCAGACTTGCAATCGAGTGAAATTTTCTACTAAAGGGTACTCATTCTTTTTGCTACTGTTGGCGAATTCAATTTCCGACCTGGGGTGCTTCAAATTATGTTGAAGTTTAGTTCGAGATTTATCAATTTATAGGCCTTTTGCTCTTGCTCTAACCGTGACTCTAGGTGATTCCGCCTACTTGAGCCTCTGTTAGCAGATAATTTCAGGAATATACTTGTTCACCATGTTTGTAGTATGGTTGTGAATCTGTAGGGATCCTGGGTGGATCCATGAAACCAACAGGCAGTTTTTGATTTCAATTTTTCGGAACTAGGTCTTAGTGAGCGATTTCCGATTCCAGAGTGAAAACCGTCCACCTAGATCATGCTCAGACATACTAAATGCCGTAGACATCTTAGCTTAATTAGAATTTTCATTATCGTAAGGCTAAAGACTAAAGAGCATAAGAAAAGGAAATGGAAACTTCATCATCTCTAATGAAAGATTTCCTTGTGAAGTGCACTTTACCATTTTGAATTGTCACCGGCTAATTTAAGTTGAATAAAAAAAATCCAAGAAAATACAGATCTAAAAAATACTAGTGGTCTCTAGATTTTTTTGGAAAATAACTAAAATAAAAGGAGCGATATATTTTAGATTTAGATGCAAATTGACATATTTAGAAGCCACCACATCAATTTTTTTTTTTTGTTTCCAAATATGAATTTCTAGTCGATTACAACTATGCAATTATTTCATTGAGAAAGTAACTGACTTCTTCAATTCTTGGACGATTGGATCTCTCACCCTACAACTCGACTTGATCATCCTTGTAAATTTTAGTTGTCAACTTATTGGAAGGGGCAGCGTGGGACTTTAAATGAGTTTTTTTCTTTTTGTTCTCTCTTCTCATAACATTTATATAGATAATTCGACCGCTTGACTATTAGTAACAAGGTCAAAATTGAAAGGCAGAGAGATTTTTTTAGACGCTTGACATTAAGGGAGAGCATTTGTGGAGTAGTCGGCACTTGGACAAACTTCGACGAAGTCCCATGTTTAAGACCATTTCGTAAGAGACTTTAAACACTAGAAAGCACTTCAAAAGTTGAGAAGGTGAAATTGCATTGAGCACCTCCTCCAACCCCCATTTTGTTAGGTCAATCGTCAAGAAACTGTCTCAATAATCGGGACATAAGAGATTGATTCAGTTCGCACTCTAATATCGAAATTACATATGGATTTACGTGATCCTAAGAAAATTGTAAGTAGCAAAGATGATCACGTTCTCATTGAATTCGCTACAACGTCGCACAAAATAAACCGTCTCACGAAAAAGGGAATCGTGTTGAAGTAAATCAAAAGTCATTTGCCTTGGAAAGCAGTCTCAATCCCAGTATAGGAGGCGGGATCATTTTTCGCACGGTTCGTGATCTAGAATCATAAGTTAAGAACCAAATTACATCCAAGAATTGCATCTCCGCTTCCCTTGTTTGAATCTTGGGTTCACGGTTAGGCAGATCTCCAAGATCATCTTGCTTCAATGGGTACACAAAAATAAATAAATATCGTCCACGGTTGACATTCTAGGTTCTTTATTCCTGTTCGTACCATTCTGTTATTTACACTCCGAATGTTACCATATTTGTCAACTTATTGTAATAAAAATCACAACCATTTGACATTCTAATTTCTCTATGCCGGCTCATCCCATTCTTTTATTTAACCCCCGAATATCATCTTAGTTATCAACTTATTGTGGACAACACTTAGATTATTCTCTTCTAGATCAGTCACATGAAGCACAAATAATAACAATAATGATAATTAGTCAACTCACACATCTGGCGTTTGACCTTCTTCCCATCCCTTGTATCAAAACAAAAAATCTCCCAAAATATTCTTGGCTCACCTAACGCTGGCATTGAAATTGAGGGATGCGAAATGTTTTGTCCTGTGTTCGTGATTTTGCGTTAGTTTCGGAATGGTTGACCTTCGAGATTTAACTCAATAATGAAGAGACAAAAACCACAAGAGACAAGCAATTCATATACTTCCCCAAGTTAGGACAAAACTGTTGTGACGTGGACGACTAATAGTGTCACTCTACAAGTCCATGGTGGCCTAAATAAAAGTACAATAATAAATTTATCTAAAAGCAAATTGGACATATTCTTGTGGTCGGTCCAACATTCTATTATTGTTTAAAGCAAATGGAGCATAATCTGCACATGGAGGAAGCCACAGTCACAAGAGCCCCTCCAGTACACACAAAAGTCAATCAATTGGAAGGGATTATCGTCCAAGCTGTCCCTTAATTTGGTTTTCGTACGAAAAGTTAACTTGTAACCTTCTTGTAAGTAGGTGAGTCAAGATATGAGAATTTTCAATGTAATTGTTAGGAAATCAAGTACAAGAACACATTGACCACTCCATTCAAAGGGGTGGAGATTTTTGCAGCTTCGCTGGTCCTATGACTCTTAAAGCCCGTTGAAAGAAATTTATACAAGAAGATTAGTTTCAACGTTGAGATAATCCCCATCATCACTTCGTCACCTATATTATGCATACTGCATACAACTTCGAAGGGTGAATTTCACTTACATCGCCAAAACATAACAAGATACATCGGTTATAAAGAGATGAATTATTCACTGTCTAGGGTGATTGGAATCAAAGTTTAGCGACTCAATTGCAAATTTAACTAAAACTAAGTTACCATAGACACGATTTACTCAGCCTCTTGTCATGTGTCTTGGGTTCATGTATGCCGAATGCATTATAGAGTCTCAAAACTATGTGCGACCCTACATGATCCAATGGATGAGATAACATATTTTGGCTATTATATGAACCCGAGCATATGCAATGGTTTAGGCGATAATAATATTAAGAGTTAGAAATAGGTGATTGCTCTTGGTCCTCAATACAAAATAGGCTCGCCCTATGGTCACCGATCATCGGCTGAAATTGTCTTTAGCTTGCGACTTGATTCAGTACTCTAAAAAGTATCCGTGAACCGTCAAGAGGCATATACGGATGATGTACCATCATGCGTTGTGCCCGGTCAACTTGGCATGTGAGTCCAAGCATCATACTTTGATCTCATCCCGATCATGATGCTATTGACAATTACGGCACTTTTGGAATAATAATCTAGTCCAAAAATGAAGAAACCCTGCTCAAGATGTAAATCCATACAGATAACATAACTAAATCTCCAAATGGGCTCAAATAAAGAAAGTTAAAACAAAGGCACCCTCCCCCACAGGGAATTACGCATGTTTAGCAACTTAAACGCAAGCGAATTAATTAATTAATCTAATCCGATGGTTAGCACTAGTGTGCGCGTGTAGGAGTTTAGCGGAGGCGGGCAAAGTCAAAGGGTCAAACTTAGTGAATATTAAACTCACATTTGCTGACAATATCGAGTTCGCCAGCTCTTCAAATCTGAAGCGCGTTTACTACCATTTTGCCACTTTCTCTTTCTTTCCTCGTCAATCCATCGTCCTCAGTCCAAAGCCCTTCACTTCTCTCTCTCCCCCTCTCTATATATACCCTCTTTATCTAACTGTCTTTGCACGAGTCGAGTTAATCTGAAGCACTCTCAACCACTTCTCTCCAACAATCCTCCCAAGCACTCTCAACCACTTCTCTCCAACAATCCTCCCAAAACATTCCAAGCTTTCAATTTGTGTACTGACGACCGCTGTGGTCTGTCTTCGGCTTCTTCACCTGGAAAAGATGGAGGTTCGAAGCGAGAACGAAATGGTTACCGACGTCAAGAAAGGGCCGTGGACCGAGGAGGAAGACGCCGTGCTCCGAAGCTACGTCGAGACTCATGGCGAAGGCCGGTGGAACTCCGTCGCTTATTTTGCCGGTATCCATCTCTCTCTCTCTCTCTCTCTCTCTCTCTCTCTCTCTCTCTCTCTCTCTCTCTCTCTCTCACACACACACACACACAAATACTCTGTGTTCTCTTAAGCTAATGTTTGATGTGAAACGATTGATTACGTGCATGCAGGCTTGAGAAGAACCGGCAAGAGCTGCAGACTAAGATGGTTGAATTACCTGCGACCCCAAGTCCGACGCGGAAACATCTCTCTTGAAGAGCAGCTCATCATCCTCGAACTCCATTCTCGCTGGGGCAACCGGTACTTTCGACGTTCCCTCATGAGCAGCATGTTCCTCAGCTTTTTCCAAACACTTCTTGAAGACTGATGTGTTTAAATTGTGTTAATTTGAAAAGGTGGTCGAAAATCGCGAAACATTTGCCGGGGAGGACCGACAACGAAATAAAGAACTATTGGAGGACCAGAGTGCAAAAGCAAGCCAAGCAGCTGAAATGCGACGTGAACAGCCAGCAATTCCGGGACACGATGCGCTACGAGTGGATGCCCCGGTTGGCTGAGAGGATCCGGGCCGCCGAATCCAGGGGTCGACCCGCCTGCCTCCCTGTAACTTCTTCCAAGGAACCGATATTCGACAATCGAGGGGCCCGCATGGCTGAGCTCGAGTCGGGCTGGAAGGACCCGAGCTTCGTGCCCGAGTTGTCGTCGGGGATTTCGTCGGACTCCTCCTCCGAAGCCCAAGTTTCTCCGGTTTCGGGACTCACTGAGTGCTACAATTTGCCCAATGGCTCGACGACCGGGCCCGGAAGCGGGGCTGGGTATTCCGGTTGGGATATACCGGCTCAAGACGATATCATGAGCAGCGAGTTACTATTGGACGGCGGAGATTCGTGGGATAGCCTGTGGAATGAAGAGAACATATGGTTCTTGAGACAGCAGCTCTCCGACGACCACTTCTAGAAGGAACTTGCATATTTCTATTTTTTTATTTCTATTTTTATTCCTTTCATTAGGTGGGGGTGAAAAAAAAAAAGGAAGGGAATTTGCTTACGTGACGTAGTTTGGCACTTAGTTGAGCTTGGGGAAAGATTGATCCAGACCAGACATGACGTGGCAAAAGAAAATTTTGTTGAGTCACGCTTTGCAGATATCCAATGTACGATCTTGTATCATGGTTTCAAAAGTCGTTTGATGTCGAAACCGGATGTTTATCATTAACTTTATTCAACGTGACGATAATGCTTCATCTCCTTTGGCCAGCCCGTGATAAGATTGATCCACGAATATGATCCAATCGTTTCCTATCTCGTGAGTTTTGGGTTGAGACTGATTTGCTGATGCTGCGAAATTTCATACATCTCTCGTTTTATTTTCGCCAAATCCTGCGGTCGTCACCTAAGTATGATTATATTTTCCAAAAATGCTGATCAATCAACTGTATGAAGCCTGCGAACAAGGAGACATCACTTCGCACGGACAGATTGATTTTCTGTAGCAAAACCATCATATTGTTCGCGAATATGGTTCACCACGAGGACAGAGGCCATCGCTTGGTTAGCTGGTTTAGCTCCATGCAAGCATGCAAGACCCAAGTGATATGCCAATAGTCGACTTTATCGAAGGGCTTGCAGGTTGAAATGATCCTTGTCCTCTTGAATTCATAACTATATCGAGTCATTCTTCTATATAATCAGAGTTTAGGTCCTCTTAGAACGTTAAGTGTTGTACATGAAGAGACATTTGTAGGTATATGACATTAATGATGGCAGTCTCCAAGAGGGGCTAGTGGCCGGCAGCAGTCGCAAACCCGACTATTAGGTTTTTGTCGCAATTTGTCCTTTCGTGGTACATTCTTTTCACAAGGAAATTTTCGAATAGAAATTCCTATCTTGTCTCATATTCTCGATGAGTCGAATAACGGCATCTTCATCATCTCATCTTATCGTTCTGATCGGTCAGCTGGATAATAACATTTGTATTTCACAAGAGGTAAGATGGGTTGGTCAACATGCTTACATGAAATATTTAATGGGTCTAATTCTATTCAAAGCTCAATGAGTTGGTATTCAAATAGTATTGAGGTCGAAACAGATGACAATCTCATGCATATTCCATTACAAAAGGTCGGAACCAACATGATTAGGGTTTCATATAGGCCAACAAGAGAGAGACCGAGAAATTATACCCACATACATGGGTTAACTAAGTAACTTCAGAAGCTATCGTACCTTCCGTCACTCTATGTTGCGAGAGTAATTATATCATACACCGATAACGTGACAAAAGGTTTAACACAAACAGCCCTATCCACCATCGATCGATTTAAGAGAGCCAACAGTTAAAATCTTCAAATCAAAGGTGGATAGAAGCCGGCCGTGAGAAATTTTCTCGACACCGGCGGTGTGTACCCTTTATTAATTTTCAATGCCGTTCCCTCCTAGACTCAGAATCCTATGTCCATCCCATCCACAGATTTAGTACGTACTCATTGTACACGATCGAGAATCTATTTGACCTTATCGGATTCTCACGTAGAACTCAACAAAAACAACTATTAGCATTTGAAAGGAGGAAAATGAGATAATCAATCGGACCACCACAATGGAAACTTGAGACCCCAAAACTTCTAAATTCGGTTGAAACAAGAAGGAGCACTCAAAAGCCGCAATAGATTCTCTGCACTTGCTCTAGTGCTGCAAAAGAAAAAATGTTAGAAAATTGGAATTTAAACAGTAAAAGCATAACAATTCGGTTGAAACAAGTGCACCCACACGAGTCTAAGTTGACATAATTCCATTGAAAAAGATACTTTATATACTTCAATCAATGTCACAATTCGGGATTTGTTCTACCTCCTCGTGTATTTATTTAGACTTTTAGTCATTCACTCCAAGAGATGCCCAATGTTTCTTTTTTCCAATTACTAATGTATTGGAAAACGAGAAGTGATGAGACGACCTTTTGAACTTAGCCAGTGTTCGTTGGTCTGACCAGGGAAGGGCTTCTCTATTAGAGAAGAATGTTGAATTTCGCAATCTGCCCCCATTATTTTATGTTATTATTTCTAGATGGAGCAGCAAAGTATTGTTTAAGTAATGAGGGGTCTCCCTCAGTAAACGTCTAAGTGGAATTCCTAGGTAATCATGGGTGCCCTTCTGCACACGAAAATGGGATCACTGCTTACGTCACCCGGATGTAATGTTTTAGGTCAAGGTGGGTCCCGCGAAATAATGGGGTGGTCAAACTAATGATGGACAATAGGCGTATGTTTTGACATGGATGTGTGTACGCAGGACCATGTTCAGCTCTTCTATGACTTTAGAAAATTTTCATGGACCGACGTTTAACAGGCTTGTTCCATGTTTTCTCTCGTTTACAGACTATTCAAAGATGAAGAAATTATAGTGTAGAACTGGTAATACTAAATTAACACGAGCACATGGCACACCTCGGCCGAATCTTTGCATGCGCTATTCGTCTTCTTTCGTACATTTTCCTTAAGGACAATCGACTTAGTATTAACTATCACTATATATGTATGTACTGTTGAGATGCTTATGCCATAGGGATGAGCATGGTCCAGGCTCAACTCAGGAATTAGATCGAACTGATTGATTCTGGGCGGTTCTCAGTTCCCAAAATTGGGAACCTCGAGAGCTGGCTATCACCGGCCCGATTCCCGATTTCGCACAAATAACCGATTGATCGGACCGCTCACACCTTAATTTTCCTTTCTTTTTGATTTTTTTTCTTCTTCTAATTTTTAAAATAACGCTAGAGCTGGGTTGACCAGTTACCAAGCAATCCGGTTCTCGCCCAGGAACTGAGAACCAGACAATTCCCAATTATGAGATCAGAAACCAGATCGGTGCCCCTTCGAACCAGACTGACCAGGCCGGTCCAGTCTAGTTCCCGAGTGGGCCAATTAAAATTTTCTTTTCAATATTGAAACAAGGCAAAGGAAGCGACGAAAATGAAAACAGACGGTGCATCTCTCTAGAAATGGCCAAGTGATTTGAAGACTAGATAAAAAATTTGAAATGGTGTACAAAGAATAGCAAAAAAAAAAAAAACAGTCAATGACATGTGTAACGACCCGGTCCTACGAGGGCGGGAAATGGTCGCCGGGGCTAGAGGGCCTGGACAAGGAGCGACTCCTGGCAGGCTTCTAGGATGGCAAGGGGGGCATCTCTCTGTCCCACATTGCTTAGGGGGGAGTCATGGAGTTGCTTATAAGGCCTGGGTGGCCTATCCTGTGTAACGCGTTTTAAAGCCGTGAGGGTCAGTGGGCCTAAAGCGGACAATATTACACAGTGTAGACCCCGGGTCCTTACAAATGGTATCAGAGCCGACTCCCGACCGCGTGTGGGGCCACAGCGAGGACGCTGTGCTCGAAGGAGGGGAGAATGTAGCGACCCGGTCTGACGAGGGCGGGGAGTGGTCGCCGGGGCCAAAGGGCCTGGACAAGGAGCGGCTCCTGGTAGGCTTCTAGGATGGCAAGGGGGGCATCTCTCTGTCCCACATCGCTTAGGGGGGAGTCATGGGGTTGCTTATAAGGCCTGGGTGGCCTATTCTGTGTAACGCGTTTTAAAGCCGTGAGGGTCAGTGGGCTTAAAGCGGACAATATTACACAGTGTAGACCCCGGGTCCTTACAGCATGCGAGACAGAGAGTGAGAGTCGAATGGCCAAAAGCAGAGCAAGAGAGAGAGGTGAGAGTCGAGCAAGAGAGAGAGACCACGGGAGGAAGGTGGCAAGAGTGACTCAGGCGAGAGTCAAGCAAGAGAGTGTGACCGCGAGAGGAAGGTGGCAAGAGCAACTTAGGCGAGAGTCGAGCGAGAGAGTGAGACGGCGAGAGGGAGGTGAGTTGCGACAGTTGAGCTAGAGGGAGGCGAGGCCAGCGACACAGAGAGAAAGTGACATAGATTAAGGTTTTCTTTAGATTTGAGAAAGGGAGCAACTTAAGCTGCATGTGAGAGAGTACTTGAGACTTGAGGAGGTTGTTATTTTTTTTTCTAGTTTTTATAGATTTTTGAAAATATAAAAAGATAGTCGATCCAATTCGAGTGGTCCGGCTAGGCGATTCCACACATTAAATAGGGAACTGGACCGATGACCCCGAAAATCGCCCAGAACTAGTTGGTTCGATTCGGTCCAGGTAGTTCCCAGTTCGGTTGATACGTTTTGCTCACCCCTAGCTGGAGCAGCATTTGCGGTGTGGGTAAAAGAAAACCCTAGTACCTAGCCTCTCTCGGTATCAAGAGTTATCTCAAACTGGGATCAACTGTTGCTCTGGAGGTGGTGAAAGATTAGATGAACAAAAACTTTACATCAAGGTGCCTTCAAGTCAAAGTGAAGTCAAAGTGAAGCTTATAGACCATGTGATTCTCAAATAGATAAGGAGATTCATGTAAATTTCATCTCAATTGAGAGCAACAAAAGAGCAGAAGGGACGGATTCTTTTGGGACATACGGGCCTCTCGAACGTCATTACAAAAAATGTAAAAGTAACATAAAGAGACAATAGTCACCAAAAACCTTAAAATATGCTCACTGTGACACATTTACCTTAAAAAAAATTTTGTAATATCAAAAATTCCAAATTTGTACATGTATGACACATTTACCCTCCATGAAAGTTTTGTTAATGAGAACCATTAAAATTTTGCCTACATGGATATCGGAAAATAAATAGTGTTGACATGGCACCCACATGGCTTAAGTGAAATAAATCCAATGTTATTTTGACTGAAAAATCATTTAACGAAACATTGACAAAGAGCAACTGTGTCACATAGGTACAAGTTTGGGGTTTTTTATGTCATAAGAAAAAGTTTAGGGTAAATGTGTCATAGTTGACATAATTTGAGATTTTTTATGGCTTTCTTAAGACACCATCAGTTCTTGGGTGAATAGGGTTGGTTCCCAGTTTCATAAATAGGAAACTGTCCCTGTCTGGTCCGGTTCCCAATTCTAGGGTAAGAACTAACCCACCTTGAAACCGATTGCTTTTAACAAAAGTCTCATATCGGAGAATTGACAGGACCCTTAGTATGTTCCGGGAAATATTTTAAGGAAGGAATTTGGTGAGCAATGCGGTTTCCAAGCGGTGGTCATTATGATGTAGCAATACGACCCCAATGGCTAACACTGAGCTCATACATAAAGGGGAGATTGTGGAGATACACATGTGAGTTTTGTTAGAAAAGTCTTATACGAAAAAAATTGGTGTAGTATTGAGTTGTTAA